CAGCAGGAGCTAGTTAGAGATGTGCAGAGAGATCTCCTTGCAGGGCAGGATTTGTTCATGAGCACAACCAAGTTGGAGAAATGGGTTTTCCCCAGTCCTGGGTCCTGTGCTGGGGGTTGTGATGAGGAGATAATGTCATTCCCCAGCTCCTCTCTGTCAGGACACAGGAGAGACCCATGAATCCAATTAGTGATTTCCCTCTTTATTTGCTTCTTTATGGCATTATCTGCTAACAGCAGGAGTCAGGCTTCCCTGGTGCCTGCTGCTAATGGGGCTTGAGTTGGCATCTGATGGGGAAAGACTGATGCTGAAGGGCTGGAAATTAGCAGCCCCCAGCTGTCAGGGGTAGGGCTGGTGAGGTGTCACAGCCCAGCTCTGATAGCAGCCCTGCTTCTCTGTCCCCACTCCCTTCCTGCAGAGAGATTAGTGTCACTTGTGTTGTGGGAGATGTGTTAAATGAATGCTATTAACAGGGCTTGGCAAGACCCATTGTACCCTGAAGCTTTGCTTTTCCCCTGGTCCTTGCACTGCTAAATCCTTTTTTCTATCTGCAGTCTTGAGTACTGATGCACTTTTTCATGGTGACTGTCCCTCCGTTCCCAAATACGTGCTGCCCATGGACATTTTTCACAGGCAGTGATTTTCTCAGTTGATCTGAGTTGGCTGGTTCCCTACCCGCAAGTTCTTTTCAAGGAACACACTAAAAATTAGAGGCTGGTGAAGTCTTATATCTATTTATCTTAAAAAAACCCACAACACCTCATGTTGGAATGGAATTATTTTTCCCCACCATCAGTCGGAGCTGACTGTAGTTGCTGGAAAGCCCTGGGCACCTCTGTGGCATGGAGGTGACAGGGAGGACACATGGGGCTCAGTGACGGTGCTGGTGGCCACGCTGCAGCTCCTGGCTAGTGCTGCAGGGATCAGCGTGACCCCTCACCAGGCAGGGTCCAACCTGTGCTCATCCCCTGTGGGGAGCTTGGGGGTGGCACCTTCCCACCCAGCCCCTGGAGCTCCCTTGGGGCTGCTCCCTCCCTCTCTGGAGCACTCTGTGGCTCAGCCATGTGGAGGCTGGGGCAGGAGCATGGGAGAGCTTGTCCTTGCAGCCAGCACCAAACTGCAACAAGGGGAACTTGTCTCATCCTTCTTCCCTTTCCACTCTCCTCTGTATGAAAATCCAGCACTGTTTCTGGCCA